GAGTGACTCCGTAGAAATATGAGTGACTCCGTAGAAATATGAGTGACTCCGTAGAAATATAACTGACTCCGTAGAAATATGAGTGACTCTGTAGAAATTTGAGTGACTGTGTAGAAATATGAGTGGCTCGGTAGAAATATGAGTGGCTCCGTAGAAATATGAGTGACTCCGTAGAAATATGAGTGACTCCGTAGAAATATGAGTGACTCTGTAGAAATTTGAGTGGCTCTGTAGAAATTTGAGTGGCTCCGTAGAAATATGAGTGACTCCGTAGAAATTTGAGTGGCTCCATAGAAATATGAGTGGCTCCGTAGAGAATTATTTTTGTTGAATAATTAACCCGCAGAAAGCTAGGAAGTTTAGCCTGCGACTTGGCTGTATTCAAAATGGCGCAATTTTGTCAACATTGTGGGACAAGATTAGCCGAAAACAATGCAAGATTTTGTCATAATTGTGGGACCCAAGTTCCCGGTAAGCTGAAATTATGAATTACATATATGTTCATTGCGAAGTGTAACTTTAAGCATTCTAGAAACATTTTCATTTAGTATTTAATTTCATTCAACATATAAATTAATAAAATAGTAATGCACATATATTGGGCTTATTTAATAAATTGATATACAAATTTTAATTGCCCCTCCGGTTCAGGAACCCCTTTCTTGCTCCCCTCCCCATGGAATTTCCAAAGAACTGAAACCCATTTTCTTTTGAAATTTCCACATGAAATTAATGCATGAGTAAACCCTCCCCCCCCCGGGACACCCCCGGTAATTTGCCTGATAGACAGTTCACAGAGGTCGGGAATTTGCCCCAGTTTCAGGCACACATGTGGGCACGCTGATCGACTTTTGCACCCTTGTGGTCAAGGTGGCGTGAAATTTATTGTCAGAATAAGCGAAAATTATAACCTGTGCCATGCAAATTTAAATACAACTATTAAAGGTTTATGATTTCATTGTTTAAAACTTTTAACCACTCTTAGCAAGATTCAAGTTTATATTAAAGTTTTATAATATTCCATAGCAGTTTAATACTATAATGTTATTAAATGACTATGCTATTATATGCCATTAAAAGTTTAATTAATGTTTAAAATCGTCCCGGGGTGGGGCATTTTCCACTCTTAGCTTGCCCAAGGGTTGTGCATTAGTCTTCAAGTTCTGTCCCTGCACCCGGGAATTTACAGTATCGTAACCAATCAAATCAAATGCCCGGGTGTGTTCCGAGGAGGGGGGATGGTTACTCCTCGAATTGACTCGTGCATAACCTTTCCAATCCCCTGGCATTGCACAAATCCATGCACGTACTGGCCCTCTAGAATTGCATGCTATCCCCTCTGGAAATATTGCATGATATCTCTCATCAACAAAAATTTAAGTTTTTCTAAGACCCTCCCAATGGAAGTTCCAAAAGGATTTTGATTGGAATAGCCCATTTATGCAGCCCAATGGAATAGCCCATTTATGCGGTGGCTATGCACTAAAACGTTCAGAATATCATTATTGTAAAGTAAATTAATCATATTTCTGTCATTTTCTACAAGGTAAGATATATTTCATGGATTTCTTATAATTCGACGGGGTCTGGAAAGTAGATCATGTCGTAAAATATTATATATTATAGGTGCGCGCATACAATGTGCACGCCGTTTTGTGTTTTATGTATGTCAATCCATTGGAGAAGTCCCCCCCCCCCACAAGCTACAGACAAATAGTACTTTTACTTTTTACTTCAAGTATTTTTTAAGGATACTTTGTACTTTTTACTTATTTTAAGTACATTTTGCTTCCAGTACTTTTTACTCTTATGCAAGTCGTTTTATTATTAATTACTTTTACTCAAGTACAAATTCAAAGTAATTTAGGCACCACTGCGTGAGACACAAAATGTAATTAAAATGCACATATTCCTGATTTGTAGAGGAATTAACTGATTCATGTGATCAGGAAAGACGCATAATTGAATACTTTTTTCATTTGGGATACAAATATGAGGACATTGTCAATCTTCTGGAGATTTATCATGGTATTTCTATTTGTATACGCACACTAAAAAGGAGACTTGCGAAAAATAACCTGAAGAAGAAGAATAACATGGTTGAACCTGAAAATTTACGAGATATCATACAGAGAGAAATGCAAGGGTCTGGTGAGCTGTCTGGGTACAGAAAGATCTGGCATATTCTCTGTATAAATCACCACCTGCACGTACCGAGAAAGTTGGTTGCCCAAATTGTGCACGACATAGATCCAGAAGCTAGTAGAGCACGCAAAGGAAATAAATTGAGGCGAGGAACATACAGGTCATATGGGCCAAATCATTGCTGGCACATTGACGGTATGTTTCATAGTGTACATTTATAAATGACGAGTTAGTAGTATTAGACCGTCTGTATAGCGGCGGAAGTGCAGTATAGCGGCGGAAGTAATTAGTATGCAGGAACGAGTAGAGCACCGGAAGTAATGAGTATGCCGGAAGTAATGAGTATGCCGGAAGTAATGGGTATGCAGGAGCAATGACGTCATGGAAACCCGGAAGCAAGGAAATGTTCAGAATGGCATACAGCGGTGAATATTTGAAAAATTTATTAAGTTTTACAGTAGTTTACAGAGATTTTGATAATTATAGTGTTTTTAGAGATTGTGCCAGACGCATCCGCAGAAGGTTAATTCGCCACATTCTAGTGAGAAATCGAATGTCAGGTTTGCCAGTATTTCGTTTAGGATTTCCGTACACTTTTTGTGGATTGTTGTTTGACAGCATCGGGTTTTCTTCAGTTCTTGTCCGGTGATTTTGTTTTGTAGACACAGATAACAGAGTTCCTTGTCCGGGAATGGTGCTCTGCAGTACCCGCACCGTATGGTTTCGATATCTGTTCCAATGTAATGTGTCGCCCACATCTGGAGACACCGACAGTGGGCTTTTTGTTGGCAGCAATGCATTGTCATCGCCAGTAGCTCGTTTCCATTAATTTCTTCGAAACAGAAATAGCACTGTCCCGGTTCTGCTGTATTTTCCGCCAGGATTCCAAAGACAGGTATGTTTGCTGGTGGTATGACATCTTCCGGCGCTGGTAGAACTCCTACGTATTCCATTTCGGTGTGTGGTTGATGATTATGGGGAAGTGTATTTATACTAGAGGTGTACATACGCGTACGGGGTGTACATACGCGTACGGGGTGTACGTACGCGGTGTACGTACACCCCGTACATATACTATGTATGTACATGGTGTACGTACACGGTGTACGTACACCCTTGAACTACGTCATGATCATACTCGTCTCTGATTGGTTAGCTGTGTTGGATGGGGAATATAAATAGAGGAGACGAGCGATTTTTGTTTTTATGTTTATAGTTTTTGTGAAGAGATGAGGTGCTTACACGGTGAACCCGCTGCTCATTCGACAACTCAAAATGGTTCCTTCTGGTTTTGCAATCAGAATCCTAGCTGGAATTTCTTTTGCTGCAAGGATGAGGGCTATTTGTATGAAAAGGCTATAACTGCATGGAGAGCTACGAAACAACCTCATCCTCGGTGTGGTGAACATAGTAAACTTGCGAAAATGCGGGTTGTTAGAAATTTGATGAAAGCAAGTTATGGGAGACCGTTTTTTGTGTGTTCCAACAAGCTGAAGCCGTGTTCATTCTGGGTATGGGGTGATGTACGACCTTTAGTCAAACCAGAGTGTCACCATGGATTACCGTGTATGGTCCGTAAGGTGAAAAAGGAAGGTCTCAATAAAGATCGAGAGTTTTTCTGCTGTTCAAATGACAAGGAATCTTCATGCAAGTACTTTGATTGGGTGCCTGAGGAACCTTATCAAGATGTCAGTTTTGTGGAACCCCTTTCAAGTAAACCACCCGAAAAGCACGAGGAACATTACCTGGCAAACAAATTCATAAACGATTTTGCTAATAGTTTGAACATTTAATATGTGTTATTTTTCAAAAACTGTTATAAAGAATAGGGTTAATAAAAATGTTTATTTTAAATTGTCTAAAAGTCATTAAAAAAGTCTAAACGTATATTATCAATAAAGTCCAGGCTGCCTGGATCATCTAGGAAATCCAGGTCAGCATTATTTACCGACTGTCCCAACGGTTGCTGTGGGGTTTCTCGGGTTTCTTGCTGTGTCTCCTGGTTCTGGTCCTGCTTATTGTCCTGCTTGCCTTCATAGAAGGCAAGAAATTCGTCGAGAAAGGACTGATTTTTTTGTTCGGCGTACGCCCAGAAAGCCTCCAGCCTTTTTGTTTTTGTTTTTTTATTAAGTCGTAATTTTCTCTGTCGTTCTGCCTCTTTTTTCTTGTCTTTTCCCATGGCTTTTTGATTTTTGTTTTTGTTTCTTTTCCCGACCTGTTGTTGTTTGTGGGATTCCCGCCGTCCCGTGTTTCCACTTGTTTGTTTGCTGCTTCCACTTTTGGAAAATGAGCGTTACGCAATTATTAGTATTAGTTACCAATGAACATTGCACAGTATTTATTTGTGTTTACCACGTTTAATATGATTAATTTTGGCCTCTGTCTTCCCGCGCTTTATACATATTTTTCAGATTATTCCTGTGGCTACAGGAAATTAACAATACATAGTATTGTGATTTTAAATAATAAATATTACGCATGTTTGAAAGGGAAA